TCCTGCAATCCACTCCCCTCCTTGCTTTCTCCCACTTTCATGTAATCTTCTCTATGTTCCCTCCTTAATTTGAAATGTGTAAAAGAAGCTGCAGACTATCATTATGAGAACCATTTTTTTTTTTCAGTCTGTTGAGATCTTGCTTCCAGGTGTATCCTCTGTTTACCTCAAATAACTTTTTATAAAAATTCTCTACAGGTTGAATGTTCTTATGTCAAGTTAGGTATGTCCTGAGAAGGGTGTACAACCCAGAGTGTGGGAGAGGCAGAGTAGTCAAAAGATGCGGAGTGAAGGTGAAGGTGCTGGAGGGAGAGAAGGCTTAAAACAAAACACATTATTTTATTTAATCCACTTAATTTTTGTCCAGTTAGCTTTAAACCTCAAAGTAGATGATATGGGTTAATGTTAATCTTGATCAAAAGGAAACAAAACATCTGAAGACACAGGTTCTTCAGAACAAAATAGATGCCTGATTAACTTTATAATCCTCATCCAGTTTTTCCTCACCATTGCCAGTTCTACAGGACTCCTCATTAAAATTTATACCACTTATTGGTGGAACTGCTCTCCTCATCCTAAAGACACCACCCCTTGTTTTTATTTCCCCAATCCTAAATCAGTAAAGAAAGATTTTAGTAAAAAGGAGAGTAAAACTGGTCTGTCTCTGGAGGCCTGGGGTTGGGGCCAGGGGATGAGGGTGGGCTATAAGAAGTAAATGGGAGGGGAAAAAAAAAAGGACATATGTAATATTTCAATAATGAAGATTTTCAAAAAACTAGTCTGTCTCACACTCACCCATCCCCCCAACCTTGCCCCACCCCCTTGTCTCCCCACCTCATGCCTCCCTCCACCCCTTCCACACACACCCTGATGTGGAGGGTGTACAACCTGTGCCCAAAAGGATGGGGAAAAGTCACTTCACAGATAGAAATCAAAAGACAACCACATGAACTAATTGTTTTATTAAGGTGATTGTATTATTTATTGTTAAATTACATGGCATACTTCTTCATCCATGTTTGAGCCATGAAATCATACTCTGGCTTATGATTCATGTAAATCTCCCCAATTTCTGGAATGAGAATATCATGTGGATTGGGTTGACATAACATGGCGCTGAGTGAGAGCAATACTTTGGAAACTGTGTGTGGCATTAAGGATGTCCAGACAGAAGCACCCATTATGGCTTATGTTCGGATGGCAAATTCGGGTTTTAAATTGGATCTTGGGTGGTTTAAAGGGGTACTCTCACGGGAATCGATGGTAAGGCAGAAGACCCTTCCCTGGTAGGGGCTCTCCCTGGGCCCCAGTACAATTCCCTGCCAGTTGAACACATCTTCTGCCATGGGCTCTGCGGAGCACATCTCTGGGGGGTTCCGAGAAAGGTGGAGAAACTCCTTCTAGAGGCGCTTTTCGGCCAGAGACAGCGCCATGGGCCCATCTTTGTCGGGAGGCTTCCTGATAGGCATAAGGTGGGGGAGCCCACGGTTAGGGGGAGCGGCAGCCCACTGGGCCTGGGAATAGGTGAGCCAAGACCAGGCTCTGGGGTGGAGGAGGGTGAAAGGGGACAAGGAAGGTGGTGGAGAGGAGGACTGAGGAAGGAGAGATGGGAACTCGGCTGGACTCATGGGCTACTGGACACCTGTGTTCTGAACAGCCACTGGTTCCACCACCTCTGTCCTGACCTAGAGACTCTGCAGCCCAGAGGCTGCACTGCAGCCTACATACCACCGCCAGGTGACAGGGCCGCTCCTGCTCAGGGTCTCCTGCCCCTGCTGCTCTCAACTGCTGTCCACATTGGGTTGCCTGGCAACAGTAGGGGATTTTCTCTGTGAGGTAACAGGGACATGATGATGACATCACCAAATGAATGGAGAGGGTGGGGGCAGGGTCAAGAGGTGATCTGAATGGAAAGGAGTGGGGCACTGGAGGGTCCATGGAGGGCAGTGGAAGAGAGTGGAAAGTCTGGAAGGGCCAAAGGGGGCAGGGGTGACAGATGGGAGGGAGCCCAGGCTTCCTGGCTTACCCAGTGCTTGTGTTGTTTCCTGGCAAGTTGGGTTACAGGCACTACCCACCACCCACCGCTGAGAGTGACCCGAATATATAAAATCAGTTCAATGAATTCCCTCCACCCTTCACTCACCCAGATTCCGCTGCCACTAACAATTTACCCCATTGGCTTTATACTAATTTCTCTCTTGTCATTCTCTCTCCTGTGCTTGCTCTCTCTCTTTTTGTGGATACATATACACTTGAGAGTAAGCTACACACATCATTACCCTTTACAAACAGGGCCTTCCATGACAAATTATACACTAATGTCCACACCCTAAGGGTGGTTCTAGTCTTAAGTAATCATTTTGAACATATATCGGTAATAAAACAATACATCCTCATGTACTTTTGTGAATCTTCATATCTTGATTGTTGCTTAGGAAGCAAATGTGTAATTTCAGTCAAGTCACCAAAAGTATATTTGCTTAACAATTTCTAACTCACCAATTATTTTTTCCCCAAGCTTTTTAATGTACATAACATGATCTTTCATTGCTTTATCATATTAAAATCTTTTAAAAAACTGAAATGGCAGTTAAACTCAAATATGTAACACTAACAATAAACATAATCCAGTGGAAATGGCAACAATATGAACAGCTTTTAAAAAGTTTCTACTTGCCATAGTCATTGAAGACTGCTCTCTGTCTGACAAAAAGAAAACCACATTACAATATGCAAAGGATTGTAAATTATATTCTAATTTTAGAGAGAAGAGAATATGGAGAAAAATGTGCATCTTCAAATATAAAAATATTAATATATATCAAAGAAAACATATAAGCAGACTTCTAGTTCTGACTCCAATACACAAAGAGTTAGGAAGTCTTTACTACCATCCTGACAACAAGAATAAAAGCTGAAAAACTGGAATATTAACAATTGTTCAATCTTTCAGAGAAAAGAAATCATGGGGAAAACCAGTGACCCCAAAACTGAAGAGGCATGTGAACACAGAGAAATGTTAGGTAGGAAGTTAGACATGAGTGGCTGGGGTGGGGCCTGACCTGGGGTCCTCAACAGGGGTCGAACTGTAGCAAATAGGCCTCTGTGATCCATCTTCAGCATAGTCAACTTTTAGTGAAGAAAACTAACAGCATGCTGCCAGTCGGTTACTGAATTTTCCCTGGCAAACAGAATGTAAGGAGGAAGGGAAAGGGTATAAGAACAAAGAACTGTGTACATGACCAGCAGCACATTTCCCAGGAAGATCCGCCTGCTACAACTAGACACAGGGAGAGGGAAAGAACTAGAAAATGCCTTTGCCAATTTTTTAAAAAATCACTCAATAGGAGACAATAAGACCTAGGTGGCATATGGGGAAAACTATTAACCCCATAATACTCAGCTAATGAGGAACCAGGGGAGGAACTCTTACACACTAGGGATAAATTGCTTGTGATCGCCTCTCCAGGAGTGCCTGCTCAAGCAGACACCTGATCTTGCAAGACCACATTAAGGTCTTGTTTTTGCCATACTTCCTGTCTTCAAGTCTGTTATTTGAATTAGAACAGGTGAGCATTTCTCACAATTTGGGAATGCATCCAGGATTTCTGGTGGTTGGGTATCCTCAGAGGTCAATTGTGTGTGATTGAGATGTGTCCTGGACACAAAGCGAGTGCGGAATCTTAATCTGTGGTTCTGTTCTCTCGAGAAAGAAAAAGCAGAGACATTAGGAAGCAGATCTCAGGGTGTGCAAGAAACCTCCAGTAATAAGAGTTGAGCACATAGAATAGTCACAGGGACTTTCCAAGGATGGGAAACAAAACTTATAGGCCTAGGGAAACTAAGGAAAGTGGAACCAGGGTGGCTCCCTTAGATATTCCCCTGATAGTCCACTGCATAGAATGCTGAGGTTCTGGAGGGGTAGTGCCGGAACCAGGAACAAAAATAAACAGAAATGATCAAAAATTGTTGTTTTATATGGCCTAGAGACCCAATTAATAATCCCTCTATCTTTTGGCCCATGTTTGGCTTGAATGAGGACTGGGTATGCCAAATTTTAGTTATTTATGTGAATGAGAAGACATCATCCACACAAGAAGAGAAATATTATGCCCTCTACTAGTTAAGAGGACAGGCTGGCATGTTTCCTTTTAAAGAGAATGAGGAGGATCAAAAGGAAAAACCTTGGGATCCCTTGTGGAGTCTGCCTCCTCCCTATAATCTTCAAACTGGGGAACAGGAGGAACAAAGGACAACCAGAGAACCAGGAGAGACAGGGATTGGGGAATGCAGGAGAGCTCAACCAAACACTCTTTATTGGAATCTGAGAAAAGAATTAAAACAATCTAAGAAAGGCCTTGAGAACTTCCCAATCCTGCCTAAGCAACCAATGTTTTCTCTCCAGGAGGTTCTCATAGGACCAGGGGAAATTGGGTTTGTGAATGCTCCCTGTTGGGGTCCAGCCCCAGCAGGTCCAGGGGTTCTCAAAGGTGTGGACAGAGTCAGCGAAGAAGGAAGGACACAGAGACTGCGTTCAGTTGAACAGCATAGTGAGGTTCTCTCTTTATTCTCCTATTACATCTGTATTTATACCAGTTGATTTTAATCCTGTACATTCTATTCCAAAGGTTAGGGCATTTATCTCCATTCCAAGGTCACTACTCTATTGTTCTGTTAAACTACAAGGAAGTAACTGAAGGAGATTATCCTAAGTAAAGATTATGTAGTTTAAGCATTATTCTTCGTAGTTGAAGTGATTAATTACCCGCCTGGCTCTTAGTTAAGGGGTTTTATTCCCTTCCTTAGTCCTGTTAATCCCTAACTTTAGGAAAAAATCCCCACCTGAGGAAACAACCTTTCTCAGAGAGGTGAGCTTGGTTAAAACATATAGCGCTAAGAAGGGGAATAAACATATTAAGAACAATATGCCATATACGCCAGGTCCCTTGAAGCATATGCTGTGCAGATGTTTCTTCCCTGCAGCGACTGTGTCAAGCAGCATGGATGGACCCGCTTCTGGCAGCTCCCCTTACGAGTACAGAGGTTAGAAATTTTAAGAAAGAAATGAAACCACTCTTATAAGATGCCCTGGGATTAGCAAACCAGTTAGACCAGTCCTTAGGGCCAAGCTTTTATACTTGGGCTGAGATGATATACATTATGAACATCCTATTTACGGAGAAGAGAAAGGGATGATCAGAAGGGCAGCCATGAACATTTGGGAGAGACATCTTCCCAGGCAAGGGGTCTTACCAGAAGACTAGAAATTTCCAAATGTTGACTCCAGGTGGAATAACAATGACACTAGGGCTCAAATGCAGGACCTCAGAGAGTTCATAATTCAAGGAATAAAAGTCTGTTCCTAGATCACAAAACATGCCTAACACATTTGAGGTCCTGCAAGTGAAAGAGGAAACCCCTTCTGCTTTCTTACAAACACTCAGGGGCCAGATGAGGAAATATTCTGGCCTGAACCCAGAAGGCCTGATAGTGAAGTATAGTAACCTCCATCTTGGGTAAAAACTGTTTAAAATTTTAACCTTGCTATTCTGGCTTCTTTAAACATTGTCTTGCTTAATAGGGAAAATAAGACTACTCCCCATTCCAGAGAGGCCATAAAATATTCCCCAGACAGAATTGTCAGTTGTCAGATATAGTCTCATGGCCCTGTCCCAGCAAATAGGACTTTTTCTCAAAAGGTCTGGAAGTTTCATTCCAAATTTAGAAAACAAAGAGCTGAAAAACATATAAATTGAAATGACTTCCACCATAGTGGGCCCCAGAATTTGAGAAGCAAGAATTTCTCTGGGCCCGCTTAGTGCTAGTGAAAATGAATAGGACTCCAAATAAATTTGGCTTATTGTTTAAGGTGTCTTCTGATTTACAAATAACAATAGGACTGGGTGTTTTGAACATCACTTTGGTAAACAAGAGTTGGCCAGACATTGCCAAAAAGTTACAAAAGATTGAGGGTTGGAATGAAAAGCCAATAGAGGAGCTGCTGAGAGAAGCTCAGAAAGTCTTTGTGAGAAGGAGGGAGAAGCAGAAACAAAAGACAAAAATCATGGTTTCTCTGATAGAAGAAGTAATCAGAAACTGAGGCCAAGATTCTTCTTGGCAAAAGGGGAGAAATACTAACCCCAGGTACCAACAGAAAGACAAACGAGAAGTGCAAGGGAAAACTTCTAAAAATATGAATGGGTGCTACAAATGTGGACACTTTAAAAGAGAGTTCCCAGAGTTAAAGAAGGAGGAAAGGGTGATCCCCCTTATGACCTCTGATGAGGAGTAGGGGGTCAGAACTTCCTTCTAACTAGGTCCCACCAGGAAACCTTAGTAAATTTAAAGGTGGGACTGGAGAGAGTAGAGGTGATTTTTCTGGTCGATACTGGAGCTGCTCGCTCTCTCTTATGTATCAACCAAAGGGTACAGAATTGTCTAAAAAAAATGAACTATATCAGGAGTAAAAGGGGAGGATTTCCAGGTCCCAATTTTTAAGAAAATGATGCTCAATCTGGGGTTAGAATAAATTGAAGGATCACTCTTATATGTTCCTGAAGCAGGAGTTAACCTACTGGGTTCGAATAGCTCTTACTGGGAGAGATCCAACTGCAAGATTTAGGATAGAAATCCAAAACCCTCCTAAAGTAGAATAGAATATAACTTCTAATACATTTGAGTCAGAAGCAACATTATCTAGTAATGATCCTAAAAGAGTAAAAATAATTGAAGTAAAAGACTTAAGACAAACACTAGAAATAGAAGTTGGATATGGTGATACAAATGCCTGGGTTGAATGTGTTAAATATACAGTCCAGGTTCTTAACAAGATCAATTGTTATGCATGTGCTGCAGGATGGCCACAGCTGAAGGTGGTTCTGTTTCCCCTCAGTTGGGACACTGATCCTGAAGGAATGTATTGTATGCTGGCTTTATACCAAGACAAGGATGCATGGGGAAATGAGACCTGTAAGAGTCTGTCTCTATTCTTTCCTACTTTATGGAAATCATATCCTAAGGTCATTCCCTCTTCCTCCATAGGGAACGTGAACTATTTCTCTTGGTTCTCTAAGCATGGGGCAGAATTAACAAGGCCGTTGGGAAAATTGACAACTTGCACTGAAGTCCTGAACATCACCAATAGGCAAAGCACTAGCAATTACTCGGCTCTCCTTATAACCTGGGAAGATGTCTGGTGGTATTGTGAAAGAGGAAACTTCTGTAATGTATTTCCATCCAATTGAACTGGGACATGTGCTTTGGTTCAATTGGCCATATCACTCATCCTGGCATTTCATCAAGAGTCCAGTCAGAATATAGAGCACAAAGAGCAGTAGCATGGTCTTTTGGCTCCAATATTAATATTGACTCAATAGGAATCCTGAGGGGGATCCCAAATGAATTTAAATCTAGAAACCAAATAGAGACTGGATTCTAGTCTGCCCTCTTCTGGTGGTCCACTACCAATAAAATGTAGACTGGATGTCCAAGAAGGAAGAGGCATTTATCCAAGGCATCCCTTGAGATAAACTTTAACCATGCAGGTATTCAGACATTTAAAGTAGTTACCAGCAAAAAGACTGTTTTTAGCTGGTAGGACCGTGGCAGGCAATTTTATCTGACCTTATCTACACTAATAAAAGAGAAACATGCAAATTGGTGTCACTCCACTATGCCCACCAGTCAATCAGGATGAGTATGCAAATTAACCCAACAAAGACGGTGGCTAATTTGCAGGCGTGGGCCAAGACTGAAGACGACTGAAGACTGAAGATGACTGAAGACTGAAGAGGCTTGGCTTCTCCGCTGCAGCTGGAGGGGAGAAGCCAAGTCTCGCTGCTGCAGCCTCAAGGCTTGGCTTCTCTGCTGCGGCCGGACCAAAGGCCTGGGTCCCGGGTGCTGGAGGGAAACCGGTGCCGGAAGCCAGGGGAAAGAAGGCCTACTGCGGGAATCTTCATGCAATGGGCCTCTAGTATTAGTATATTCAAGACTGTTGGAGGAATTACACCACACAAATAGTTACAGTTGCAATTCACACAGCAACGTATTCTCCTTTTATCATTGCAGTGGGCACAAAGCTTATCAGCACACAGCACACGGTTACTCACAAAATTCCTGGTGCTGTGGGTACAGGCTTATAGGGATCCCAAAATGTAGCTTTCTCGCGGCAGCAGCAGGCGCCTGTCTCTCGCTGGCAAGTCAGGTCAGGAAACGAAGTCTCAGGTTCAGGGACTTGTTGCTGTCAGAGATCCCTGTGCACCCACCGTGCATCTGTCTTCTGGCACGGAGTGAAGAAAAGTGGAGAGGGGGACTGCACCCAAACTGAAGGCGATCAGCAAAGATAAACTTCCAGCAATCAGAGCCACCAGTGTGGCACAGGGATCAAAGTGATCAGCAACGACCAGGCATCCAGCATTCAAAGGATGATCAACTTGAATGGTGTTCGGGGACCCATTAAATAGCCTGTAGTGAAGTATGGTAGCAACCATTTCAGGTGGAAACTGTAGTTTAACTCTAACCCTGTTGTTTGGCTTAACAATATAAAAGTTACTTTGATTTTCTAAATTGTATAAGTCATCCCATTCGATTGAATGTCTTATTGATTGAATGACTATTCCATTGATTGTTATCATACTGGTCTTAGAGAGCACATTCTACTGTACCTGGAAACAGGACAGCACAATTACCCTAAATTGTTTTAGTGGCCACAGGTGGTGCGTTCCAGCTGCCTCAGTGGTCCCGAGAACAGGACAGCACAATTACTCTAAATTGTCCTGACAACTCAGTGGTCGGGAGACCTGAGGGCTCTAGATAATGTGTTTCTATCAACTCAGTGATCCGGAGACCCAAAACTGTAATTTAGATAACATGCCTAAGTTTAACCCAGGTTACCCAAGAACTCTAGATAATGTATTTCTGTCAATTCAGTGACCCCGAGACCCGAAACTGTAATTAACATGCTTAATTCTGCTTCTGTAATCTGCTTTTTTGGGAGCCAGGTGCCACATTCCAAACCCTGGGATGTAATCAATACCTTTGTGATTTTTGCCTATATAAGTCTGGTTTTGCCACCATCTTGGGGTCTATGAGATTTGGGAATGGCCCCTCATAGTCCCGGATTGCAATAAATGTGACTCTTTAATTCGACTTCTTGAGGCGTCCTTCTGTGATTCACCGGGTACATTACAACAGTAGTACCCACAGCAGTCCATGGGGGAGAAGGGGGATTCTAGTAAACAGAATGCATAACAAGATCTCAAGTTTAACATTAGTTCCAATGGGTATATCAGTAAAGAAACTTCACTCAGGGGAGGGGGAGCAGTATACATCATCACACATATGGTTATCATGGCAAGTCACTTTAAGTCAGTAATTAAAGTTCAAATCCTTATCAATAGAATACACACACTTCAGGGCAGTGGGGAATGTGTCCTTAATATCACACTTTAAGTTTTAGGAAAGTTAAGTCAAACATTTTAAAACCTTTTTAATATTTTTTGGTATTTTTAAACATTTTTATATTTTACTACAACACTGAATTAACTACGTCTATCATAATCAATAGAAATTTATCAATTACACCAGGGGTGCTCTTCAAGGGTTAGCCAGTTAATTAGATGCCACTAACCATATGGCTTGGGAAAACAGGATAGCATCAGATATGATATTAGCAGAGAGAGGGGTCTATAGCATGTTAGGTAGAAAATGTTGTACCTTTATTCCAAATAAAACAGATCCTGATGGCACAATCAGTAAAGCACTTCAAGGACTAATGACTTTGGCTAATGTATTAGCTGTGAATGCTGGAAATGAAAACTATTTACTGGTTGGTTAGAAGGATAGTTTAGAAAATAGGCTTAATGCCTCAATTCTAACATCTCTCATCATTGTAGCAGAAGTATTAACAGCGATTGGATGTTGCATTATCCCCCTGTAAGAGAATTAGCACAGAGGTTAATTGAAACAGCTATTAATAAGCAAATGCCCCTACCCTACCAACAGAACAACCTGTTATTACTAAAAACCAAACTAGACTCACCCTCTTATGATGAAGAAAGTCAACACATTTCAGAAAGATTTAAAAACAGATAATGAAGATAGGATCAATTAGTGTAAGAAGAAGAGGAGGGAATTTGTAAGAAATAAGCTTCTGTGATCCATTTTCAGCAGTCAATTTTTAGTGGAGAAAACTAATAGCATGTTGCCAGTTGGTTACTGAATTTTTCCAGGGCAAACAGGATGTAGGGAAAAGGGGAAAGAGTATAAGAACAAAGAATTGTGTACATGACCACATGACCAGCAGCACATTTTCCAGGAAGATTCGCCCACCAAAACTAGACAAAGGGAGGTGAAGACAACTAGAAAAGGCCTCAGCCATTTTTTTTTTTTAAATAACCCAACAGGATACAATAAGACCTAGGCCAGTGATGGTGAACCTATGACACGCGTGTCAGAGGTGACACGCGAACTCATTTTTTTGGTTGATTTTTCTTTGTTAAATGGCATTGAAATATATAAAATAAGTATCAAAAATATAAGTCTTTGTTTTACTATGGTTGCAATATCAAAAAATTTCTATATGTGACACGGCACCAGAGTTAAGTTAGGGTTTTTCAAAACTTTGACACGCCGAGCTCAAAAGTTTCGCCATCACTGACCTAGGCAATGTACCAGGAAAACTGTTAACCCCATAGTACTCAGCTAATGAGGAACCAGGGGAGGGAATAAATTGCCTGTGATAGCCTCTCCGGGCATGCCTGTGAAACAGGAATTTTAGGGGAATATAAGCAGGCTGAAGGAATTTTTAAAATTGGGGTCTATAGAAGAAACACAGGGCTACAGACTGGGAGAAGGTTTATTTTCCTAACACAAGGAAACTAAGGGCAGTTATATTTCCATAAGACAAGGAAGCAGCAACAGGTATATTTCCATAACACAAGGAAGCCAGGCTTGGTTATATCCTCATAACACAAGGGAGTGGCAACAGCTACATCTACATAAGAGAAGGGAACTAGGAGTAGCCAAGAGGTCTATATTTACAAAACAAAGAAGGAGGAAGAAAGCCCAAAAGGAGTGGGAGGACAATTAGGGAGGAGGGCCTCAAGAGTTACTATAGTATCCACTTAGAAAGAGAATATTGACCAATCAGAGGGGATATAAGGACACAGGAACTTCAGCCTTTATAAACCATGGAAACAGGAAGTCTGTGGGACCCTTTACCCCTCCCACATGGGAGTCTGTATTTGTTCTTCAATAAATCTCCACCTTTGCTATACCACCTTCTGTCTGTGGATTAATTCTTCAACTCTGGTGGACAAAGAATCCATGTTCCAGTCCAAAATTTCCATATCACCTGCTCAACCAGACACCTGATCTTGCAAGACTGCATTAAAGGTCTTGTTTTAACCATACCTCATTGTTAGGTCGGAGAGAGCCCAGGGTCGGATACATGCAGACATATGACAAGATAATGGACTTCCCCTGGAATTTCTCACAGATCAAGGTGCCAGACACAGATACAGGCTTCTTCTCCCTTAATCCACATACCCCCGCCCATCCCCTGCAGCAGAGAATTCCTCAGCTCATGTCCCCGCCCCTCACCCAACCGCAGTATAAAAAAAGCGCCCCCCTCCCTGTTGGCGTGAATCCACGTGCCCTGTCTTTGGGGTACGTGGGTCTCCCGGGGACGCAGAATAAACCTTTTCCTTTCTTTTCTGATTCACTGGACTCTATTTCTTGCACCGCCTCCTGAGCCACCTAACCTAACATTTGGTGCCTTGAAACCCGGGTGGCGCAAGCACTCCATTTGGCGGTCCCTCCACGGCTCTGGGTGCCCACCTATCCCTCCTCGTGGCTCTGGACCCATCAGGACCTCATCTCTTCAGCTCAGCAACTTTTCCCAGTTTGGCAGCATCAGCAGTGAGTCCCGCCCCGCCCCCGTGCTGGTCCCATGTGGCCGCCTGCCCACTAGCATCTCTGTCCGTAAAACGTGGCCACGTCAGAGATTGCCTCTCTGGACCCTTCCAGGAAGGCTCCTCCTGACCTGGGGGGGTAGCAGGGACGCCTCTACCCCGCCCACAGTCCCTCCCTCCGTCCCTCCATAGCGTGGGTTAAACCGCTGGGACACCAGCCTTTAGCCCCGCTACAGGCCACGAGGATCGAGCACGGGGAATCCAAATTCCAAACCTGACCTGAGCACACCTCTAGGGTGCCGGCCCACCGATCTGGCTAAACACGGGGCCTGTCCTGGCATGGCCCCAGTATGAAAACGGGACCCTGACTATAAGGTCACACCGATCTCAGTAATTTCTTCCAGCGAACTGGGAAATTTGCCCAAGTCTCTCTCTCTCAGTCTCTCTCTCAGTCTCTCTCTCAGCCTCTCTCCATCTCTCTGCGTCCCCGTCCCTCCCCCAAAGTTCCTTCCTCCATCTCTCCTCGCTCCGCACTTCCTCCTCCCTCCCGGCTGTCCCTGCACCGCTGAGCCCCAGGTGTGTGCGGTGCGTGTGAGGGTGGGTTCATGTGCTGTGTGTGGGACGCGGCGACGGCACCGCCATCGTCTCCGCGACCCCTCACCCCCTCCACAGGAGAACTCCCCCGAATTCCCCTAGCGAAAGCCGCCCACTCTCCCGCGGACCTCGTGCCCCTGTCCGTCCACACTCTCCCCTCCTCCTCCCTGCTGGACTCTCCTCCAGCCACGCCTTCCGTCGACCCACTGGCCCCGCCTCCCCTCTTCTGCCCGCCCCACGGCGGCCGGGAACTCAAACCGCCCTTTACAAACTCATGTCCCTGCATGCCTCCACCGCCGCGCAGTCCGTCGCAGTCAGTCCATCCGCGCAACCCCCGTAGCGGCTAAGTAGCCGCTAACGCTGTAGCCGCTGCGGGACCCGGAAACTCAAGTCCCCTGCCACCCCTGCCTGCTTTCCCAGTCCGTACACACACGTGTCCCATAGGCTCTACCTTCCTTCTGTCCTTCCTCCTCCGTTCTGCCCCTGGGAGGTTGCGGCTTTTAAACTCAACTGCCAATACCTCTCCCAAGCCCACCCAGGCCACCTCTCCCGCGCTCTCCCCTTCCCTTACAGGCCTGCCTTAGTAACCTGTACCCCATGCAGTGACCTCTGTGAGGTCTAACCGCCCGCCTTCCTCTGTGCTCTCCGCCCCCATGACTGTCAGCACTGTAATTCACAGGTGGCCGGCCAATTCCCTTTGCAAGAGGTTACAGCTGTGCTCTCTTCAGACCCTCTTATCTAGCAGCTTCCTTCTCCCCTAGAGCCCAAATCCTAAGAACGTCAGCTCCAAAACAGCCTCTTCCATTTCTGCACCCATTCTACCCCTGCCATAGTCCCATCCAGGAACTGAGGGCATAGTCTGAATCTATGCCCCCCACTCTCTAACCCGACCTTTAAGGTCTTTATTGGTCCGCAGACCCAGGTCCGAGATCGAGTGAAAAATGGCCTTGAAGGTTCTTAATGCCCTGGAGGAGCAGGCACAGTCAGAATGGGAGGCCTGCCTTCCACAGGAGGTAGACCTGCAGACACGCCTTAGTTGTTTGTAGCCCTGAGGTTGATGGCAGCCGCCATGGCCCTAAGGGGGCTGTGAGCGGTGGGGGTGCAATGAAAGGAAGGCCACCAGAGAATGATTCAAATGTGGAAATGAAGGCCACTGAGCAATGCAGTGCCCCTGGCCCCGAGCTCCAACCAAGCCCTGCCCAGCATGCGGTCCAAATGGTCACTGGAAGAGTGACTGCCCTGGAAAAGTGGTGGGCCCTCTACGCCTCAGCGTAGGGGGGCCACCCTTCCAGGCCAGGACCCACCCGCTGGCCATGTTGGAACTGGGTGAAGACTGAAGAAGCCCAGCCTCGATGACATCAATCACCCTTGCTGAGCCTCGGGTCACAATGAAGGTAGTAGGTCACCTTCCTGGTTGACACGGGGGCTGCCTTCTCTGTCCTGCCCTCCTTTTTAGGGCCCCTTTATCCTTCCAAGATCTCGGACATGGGTATTAACTGCAAATCCACCTGCCCTCTGGCCACTGGACCCCTTCCCTGTCTCCTTGATGATAGCATGCCCCATGCCCCTGTTAGGACGAGACATCCTCACCATCCTAGTGGCCACTCTGCAGCTCACTCTGAGCCCTTCAGCTTCCCTGCTCCTCCCACTCCTGGCCCCCTCCCTTTACAGGGACACGGATTCTCCACTGCCATGCATCCTGTTATGGGGCCCAGTTGTCCCAGACCACAGTAGCCTAGCTCAGTCTTCGCCTAGCTCAGTCTTAGCCTAGCTCAGTCTTCGCCTAGCTCAGTCTTCACCATGAATGCCTTTTCTCCTTCTCTCCTCCACGACTATCCCCTACTCTGAACTGAAAACTGCTCTGACCTCGCCCCATCCCCCTTCACCCTTGCCAAAGGAAAAAATGCGGCAGTTTTAAAATCCAAGCGGCTAGAGGCCTGGGAACAGGCTGCGCGACCTGCTCCCTCCCTCTCCCCGCCTTTTCTCCAGCCTCCAGGTCCCTGGCTTCCACTGCTCCTTCCATTTTCCCTTGGATAACAGCGCATTCTAACATTTCTTCCCACTTTCAATGCAATACCTACCTCTCTCAGGCTCACCGAGTGCCTCCCACCATCCCCGAAGTAGATTCGGCGGCACCATCCAGGACAGGATGACCCATCATTCCTCACAGGCTCTTACCTGGCAAGGGACCTTCCAATTCTGCTCAGGTTTTTCATATTTTCAGGTGAAACGGACATGGAATGATGAGGGAGTCATCAATTCTACTGTCTGGATGGGAAATCCTCTAGTGTCGCTCTCTATTTATGAACCCTGGACCTACTCCTATGCCCACTCTCATCAACACAACTTTCCATCTACTCTCTGACATCAGTCCCTCCTCCTCTACATCCTGCTGGATTTCTGTCACTGGCTCGAACCCTCATCATAGCCACTCAATTCCAACCTATTGAACCATCTAACTAAACTCTCTCTAGAAATTCGCAGCTCCTGGCTAGACCTCCTGCCCGTGGCCCTGACCAAACTCCAGCTACACCAAGGAGCCCCACTTTCTTGAGCCCTTTTGGCTCTTCATGCTCAACCACCGTCTCCTTACTGATCCCTCTCCCCTGGGTACGTATCTCCCATATCTGTCTTTAACCAGGCAATTGCTCCGAGAACACGAGAACAGGTTTCTGCCCAAGCCAGAGCCGACCGACCAGGACTCCCAAGACCAGCCCTTCGCCCTGGTGACTCGGTCCTCCTGAAGAACCTACAACCACAAGCCTTGGAGCCTAGGTGGACGGGACTTCACACTGTAATCCTCACAGCCCCCACTGCGGCCAAGCTGCTTGGCGACCCCAGCTTGACGACCTGTCCTGGCACCACCTCTCCAGACTCAAGAGGAACCCGGAGCAACATGACATCTATAAATGTGAGGTGTTGGGCCCCACTAAGGTCTGCCTTAACCGCCCTCCCCTCCTCCTTCCTTCTCCTTCCAGCAGTGTGCAACCTACACCCACCCCCACCCACTTATGTGTGGAGGTTCAATGTCCGTGAAACCTACTACCAGAACAGCAAACAAGTCACCTGGCAGGTAGGATCTCAGGACTGCCCTCTGTTCGGATGTCAGACAAAGATCCAGATGGCTGTCAACATCCAGTCAGTGTCCAATACTGGCTGACCCTATTTCTGTTTTGCTTATGACCAGCGGGACCCAGACAGGTGTAATCAAGATGTCAACACCTATGGGGTTGCCATGGGAGAGACTGTCATACCACACAGCAGCCAGTCTCACCAAGGCCAGCCCAGGTACCTTCTTTTGGTGCAACGGCACCTTAAGGAACTGCATGAACTCCTCTGACCCCGGGCCTTGCTTCATGGTCACAGTAGTTCCCCAACTAACCTTGTATGGAGAGTCGGAGCTCACTGGTTGCTCCCTCCATCCCATCCCTGGACCCGCTGGGCTGCCTTCCTCCCTGTCATTTTAGGGGTGAGTATTGCTTCCTCAGTAGGCCTCACTGGGGGGCCCTCGGGAACAGTCTGGTCACTGCTCAGTACTTTAATAACAAGCTCCAGTTAGCCCTGGAGTCTACTACCACCTCTTTTAGCCTCCCTATAGCAACAAGTGACATCAGTAGCCCAAGTAGCCCTACAGAACCAGCTCGCCTCAGACTTCCTGACTGCAGAAAAAGAAGAAACCTGAATATTCCTTCAGGAAGAATGCTGTTACTACATCGTGTCTGGAGTAGTAGAGCAAAACATAAATGTACAGACCCTGACTAAGCTGAGTGAAGAACTACATGCAGGACACTTCCAGGACAACTCTCCTTCCGGCTGGTTCCAAAGCCCCTTAGCCACCTGGGTCCTATCCATGGTAGGGCCCCTGATTCTCATCTGTGTCTTTTTTCTCCTAGCCCCCTGCCTCCTCAAGTTCATCCACTCCCGGATCACAGAGACGTCACGGGTGACTGTGAATCAGCTCCTGCTCCATCCCTACGCTCGGCTGCCCTCTGATCTGCCTCTGCCTAACCCTGGCCTTTAAACGCCCCCCTCGTCGCCCTTAGCCAGCTGGAAGTAGCCAGAACGAGTCGCCGTCCCTTATCACCAAAAGGCCGGGATGTTAGGTCGGAGAGAGCCCAGGGTCAGATACATGCAGACATATGACAAGATAATGGACTTCCCCTGGAATTTCTCACAGATCAAGGTGCCAGACACAGATACAGGCTTCTTCTCCCTTAATCCACATACCCCCGCCCATCCCCTGCAGCAGAGAATTCCTCAGCTCATGTCCCAGCCCCTCACCCAACTGCAGTATAAAAAAAGCACCCCCCTCCCTGTTGGTGTGAATCCACGTGCTCTGTCTTTGGGGTACGTGGGTCTCCCAGGGATGCAGAATAAACCTTTTCCTTTCCTTTCTTTTCTGATTCACTGGACTCTATTTCTTGCGCCGCCTCCTGAGCCACCTAACCTAACACTCATGTCTCCGTTTCTGTTATTTAATTCATACAGGTGTGCATTTTTCACACTACCAACATTGCCATTAGACAGCCTTTCTCTGAGTGGCCAAACAGCTAGCAGACCAACAACAGGCAGGTTCATAACCAGCTGATAAGCTATCCTCCCTTAGCATCACTGATCTTGTGGTTTGGATCCCTGATCTTTCATATGACTGGTCAGGTGGATTAGACCCCCTCTTATTTATCCTCCCTAAAGATAACATCAGTTGTATTTCAGCTCCAGGCCCAGAAATCCAGCAAAACCAGACAAGTGACCCATGGCTGTCTTAGGACCAGCTACATTGACAAATGACCCCTTGTCCTGGTACTGATCAATCAGTGGTGACCAAGATCCTGAAAGGGCACACCTGGAAAGCTGATGAATATTCTGTTAAGAACCTCCCCTGAGTGCTCCCCTAAGACTTCCACCTACAAGAAAGAGATAAATATGCTCAGGACAAAAGACCCATCCTGCTCTCCCTCCAAGGAGCACTCCCATGCCATTCCTTCCTTGGAAGGAGAGCATGATGGGCCCTTTGTGGTTCCATATAAATTTTAGGATAATTTGTTCTAGTTCTCTGAATTATTCCATTGGTATTTTGATAGGGATTGCATTGAATATATAGATTCCTTTGGCTAGTATGGAACTTATGACCCAGCAATTCCACTTCTGAATGTTTATCTGAAGAAACTTAAAACACTAATTTGAAAACATATATGCATCTCTATTTATTGTAGCATTTTTTTTACAATAGCCAAGACATGAAAGCAACCTAAATGTCTATCACTAGCAATTGAATAAGAAGATGTGATACATATACACAATTGGCCATATAAAAGAATAAAATCTTACAATTTGCAATACCATACATGAATCTAGATTATATAATTTTAAGTAAAATATGTCAGAGAAAGACAAATATATGATTTTATGTGTGAAATCTAAAATAAACACACACACACACACACACACACACACACATACAAACAAAATAAAGAAACAACATAAAAACAGACTCATAGATAGAGCGTACGAATGAATGGTTGACAGATGGGAGAATGTTGGGTGGCTAGGTGAAAAGGTGAAGGGATTAAGAAGTACAAATGGCAGTTACAAAATAGTCACAGTGATGTAAAGTATATCCCTATAGTGAATAAAATAATATTGTAATCACTATGTATGTTGCCAGGTGGTTACTAGTCATGCAGAAAGTATCAATTCATAAATTATATAAATTTCTCACCACTATGCTGTACACCTAAAACAAATATAGTATTTAAGGACAACTCTAATTTAAAAAAAAAATGAAAATAAAAATAAGGAAAAAGAAAAAAAATCACATTAACCAAGAATATGTATAGTGTTTTAAAAGTGGACATATATTACTTGAAATCATATATTGCCAACACTAGGGCAACCACTACAAAATGGAGAAAAAAAACATAATTGATATCCTAAGGTAGAGAGAAAATGCAATAATATAAAATGCTCAAAGCAAAGAAGGAAAATAAAAAAGAATGAAAGAAAAAATAGTAATAATCCAAGGACAAGAGTAATAGATAGAAAAAGTAAGAAATGTAGTAGTTCTTTCTCCAACTATATAATAATTTTTTGAATATCAATTTTAATATAATAATTAAAAGATAGACAGTGTTAAATGGATAAAAAGATAACACCCAACTCTAGGTCATCTACAGGATACCCACTTTATTATTTTTTACTTTTTCATTTACAGTTGGCATACATTATTAAATTAGTTTCAGGTGTATACCCCAGTGATTAGATATTATATAACTTACATTTCCATCAGACACCATACATATAATAGAATATTATTAGGTATATTCCCTATGTTGCATTTTATATCCCCATGACTATTCTGTAAAAACTAATTTGTACTCCTTAATCTCTTCACCTTTTTAATCCATCCCCCAACATCCCTCCCATCTGGCAACTAAAAATGTTCTCTGTATCTATGAGTCTGTTCCTGGTGTGCTTGTTTATTTATTTTGCATTTAAGATTCAATTGTTGATAGATATGTATTTATTTAGATTTTATTGTACATAGATTTTTCATCATTTTTCTTCTTCTTAAAGACCTTTTAACATTTCATGTAATACTGGTTTTGTGGTGATGAACTCCTTTAATTAGATTATAAATGATAGCTTTGCTGGGTAGAATAATTTTGGTTGTACATCTTACTTTTCATCACTTTGAATATTTGTTGCCAATCCCTTGTGGCCTACAAAATTTCTGCTGAGAAATAATCTGGCAGTTTTAGGGGAACACCCTTATAGGTAACTAAATGGTTTTCTCTTGCTGCTTTTAAGATTATCTTTATTTAATCTTTAGCATTTTAATTATGATGTGTCTCAGATTTGACCTCCTTGAGTTCATCTTGTTTGGGACTCTGCACTTTCTGGACTTGTGTGTCGATGTCCTTCACCAGCTTAGGTAAGTTTTCTGTCTTTATGTTTTAAAATAGGTTTTAAATTTCTCCTTTTTTAATTGTTTTATTACTTAAAGTATTAAAAAGAGTATTACATATATCTCCTTTTTTTCCCACCCTTGACAATCTCCTGGCCTCCCTTACACCCAGTGTCTTATGTCCATTGGTTATGATTATATACATGCATACAAGTCCTTCCATTGATCTCTTACCCTCCCCTCCAGCCCCCCAACCCTTCCCGGCCTTCCCGCTGTACTTTGACAGTCTGTTTGAGGCTGCTCTGCCTCTGTATCTATTTTTGTTCATCAGTTTATAATAGTCTTTATTATAGATTAATGAGTGAGATCATGTGGTATTTTTGCTTCATTGCCTGGCTTATTTCACTTAGCATAATGCTCTCCAGTTACATACATGCTGTTGCAAATGGCAAGAATTCCTTCTCTTTTAAAGCAGCATAGTATTCCATCATGTAGATGTACCACACTTTTGTAATCCATTCATCTACTGATGGGCACTTAGGGCTGTTTCCAGATCTTAGCTATGGTGAATTGTGCTGCTATGAACATAGGGGTGCATATATCCTTTCTGATTGGTGTTTCTAGCTTCTTGGGATATATTCCTAGAAGTGGGATCACAGGGTCAAATGGGAATTCCATTTTCAGTTTTTTGAGGAAACTCCATACTGTCTTCCACAGTGGCTGCACTAGACTGCATTCCCACCAGCAGTGCACAAGTGTTCCTTTTTCTCCACATCCTCTCCAGCACTTGTTGTTTGTTGATTTGTTGATGATAGCCAGTCTGACAGGTGTGAGATGGTACCTCATTGTTGTTTTGATTTGCATCTCTGGGATGATTAGTGACTTTGAGCATGTTTTCATATGTCTCTTGGGTTTCTGAATGTCCTCTTTTGAAAGGTGTCTATTTAGGTCCTTTGCCCATTTTTTGATTGGATTGTTTATCTTCCTTTTGTTAAGTTGTATGAGTTCCCTATAAATTTTGGAAATTAGGCCCTTATCAGATATGACATTGGCAAATATGTTTTCCCACACAGTGGGTTTTCTCGTTGTTTTGTTGATGGTTTCTTTTGCTGTGCAGAAGCTTTTTATTTTGATGTAGTCCCATTTGTTCATTTTCTCTTTAGTTTCAAGTGCCCTAGGAGCTGTATCAGTGAAGAAATTGCTTCGGCATATGTCTGAGATTTTGTTGCCTTTGGATTCTTCTAGAATTTTTATGG